TGACGTCAGCTTTCCTGCTCCTCTGATGCTGCCTGGCCTGCTGTGTTCCTCCAGCTCCACACTGTGTTACCTCTGACTCCAGCATCTGCAGTTCTTGCTATCTCAAAGTCAAAAATGAGTTGTTAAACTGCTAGTTCACAAGAGTTATAGCAACTACGACCTTATGACTAATTCAATGTTCCTTCATACATATTAAAAAGCCAGTGCTTTTTCACTTACGGAGAGACTAGGTCTATGTTGTCCTACCCTGCCACATCCTCCACTGTTCCTCAGTTGTTTTACCCATTGGCAGAGCTTCCCAGTTTTAATGGGACAGTCTCTGCCTCATCCCATTAAAGTTTGCTTTACCTAAATCCAAAGCTCTAGCCTCCAGCCTTTGCTAACCCCTTACAAATGCTACATGAAACTCAATCACATTATGATCACTATTTCACAAATGCTCACAAACAACTAGCTCACTAATTAAATCAGACTCATTGCTCATTGCTAGATCCAGTACCCTTGTCACATCCAAGACATCTTGCCATAGGAAACTATCCCGGACACACTCTCGAAATTCACAATCTTTCTGGCAGATGTTTGCCTGTCTTTTCCCGTCTATGTTAAGATTAAAATCCCCCATTAATACTAGTGTGTCTTTCCTACATAGTTGCTTAATTTCAGCATTTATACAATCTAGCATTTCTCAGCTGCTACCAGGTTGTCTATATATGACACTTGTTGTGATTTTAATTCCTTTCTAGTTCCTCAATTCTACCTATGAAGTCTCCACTGGGTGCTTTCTCCTCATTACATCCTCCCTCACCATAGAAAGTAATTCTCTTTCTAATCGGTAATGCCACTCTATCCTCTCTGCATTTTCTCTACCCCACCTGTAATCCTCATAACCTAATATGTTTAGTTCCCAGTCCTGACCATCCTGCAGCCATAATGGCTACTATGTTATAGTTTCCAATCTGAATCTATGCCTGCAGCTCATTTAATTTGTTCCTGACACTCTGTGCATTTGTATAAAGAACTATAGTTTTGGCTGTACACTCTCTATCCTGTCCTTCAGCGTCTTTTTATTATTTCTCCCTCCTATCTTACTCAATACACTTCTAATAGTCCTGCCTCATTTATTAAACCGGCCCTACTTATGCATCCTATTAAACTGTACCTTCTCCTCACATCCTGACCTGCTACTCCAGCTCCCACCCCTCTTGCCATACTAATTTAAACCCTCTCGAGTGTCATTAGCAAACCTCCCCGCAAGAATATTGGTGTCCTCCAGCTTAGGTGCAACCTGTCCTTGTACAGGTCCCTCCTGCCCTGGAAGAGATCCTAACGAGCCAGATATTGAAATCCCTCCCTTATACATCCACTCTTTAGCCAAGTATATTAGCCAACTGTATTATCTTCCCATTTCTGGCCTAACTAGCTCGTGGCACAAGGAGTCGTACTGGAATTACAAGGTCCTGCTTTTTGACTTTTTGCCTAACTCCCTAAATTCCTTTTGCAGGGCCTCCTCATCCTTCTTGTCAATGTCATTAGTTTCAATATGGACCACGAACTCCAGCTGCTTGCCCTTCCCTTTCGGAATGTACTGTGCATTCTCAGAGACATCCTTGACCCTGGCACCAGGGAGGCAACACACCATCCTGGAATTTTGCTTATGGCCACTGAAATGCCTATCTTTGTCCTGACTATAGAGTCCCCGAATGCTCAACTGCACTTTGACCCTCCTTGCTGTCCAACAGAGCCAGCTTTGTTGCCACTGTTCTGGCTACTGCTGTTGCTATCCCCTGACAAGCTGTCCCCTTTTTTTCAGAGGGGAATAGCCACAAGGGTCTTCTCCTGTGACTGTTTGCCCCTCCTAACTGACCTTCATTTATCAGCCTCAACTTCGGTTGCAGCAATGTCCCTGAAACTCCTACCTATGACTTTTTCTATCACCTGCATGCTCCTCAATGTGTCCAACATGTTCTCCAGCCAATCTGTGTGCTCTGAGAGGAGGTGGACGCATTTCCTGCAGATGTAGTTGTCGGGGACTTTTGACCTATCCCTGATTTCCCAAATCTCACCGGAGAAGCATCACGCCTCATGAATGACCGTTTCTAACGCACTGGTGACTACTGGATTAAAAATAAGTAAGTAAGTAAATGAATAAATCTTGCCTAGTTACTTAAATTACAGTCAACGCTTCCCAGACAAGAGGCTTACTAAATATTATTATACTCCAAACAACAGTCTAAGTATTCCACCCTGCACTACACTCAAATTCCTACTGCTCTAAAACTGTAAAGCTATGAGGAGTTAACAAATTGAATGTAGTGGGAGAAAGAAGTCACTTGATTAATACTCATCAATCTGGAGCCCTCCTGTGCAGCATGTCACTTTCGAACTTGTGATGTCTCCAGGAGCTCCTCCGAAGATTCTTCTGCAATCCTTTCTCAGTTGTGGTGAGAGAGCTGACTTGTCCCAGAACCCTCCTCAGCTGCTTCTCATTTCCAGATTCCAGATTACCATCTTCCAGATTCTTGTGTGTGATACCTGTTGGAAGTGTTCAGAATAGGACAAAGAACCTTCTTCATCAAAGCAAGTCAAAATCCCTGGGTTCCCTACTTAACCCTGTTGTGGAAATTCCATCACAAAAGGACAGCAGTAATTCAAGGTCAAGGCCCACACCATTTTCTTGGGCAATTCTCAGAGTCTGGCCAGTAAAACCCATTCCTTACACTAAGCAAATAGCCATTTCAATATTTGCATAGCAAATTTCAGGCTTGTATGCCTTAAATTTGGGCTATTTCTAAAAGAAAACTAAGAAAAAGAAGATGCAAAAGAACGTAAAATATTTCAGGCTTAATCCTTCACACATTTGTGTACAATGCAGTGGAAATCCCACACTCCTCAGCAAGGATTTTGTTTCAAGGGAAGTTGACCCCTTAATTCTAAAGAACCAAGAACACTAGTCTGTCTAGTCTCTTACTTCATGATGCACTGGAAAGGAATGCATTCTAAGAAATAGAACAGATCGAAAATAGAACCCCACATTTGCATTTTGCCAAAATGTAAATACTTCCTTGAATACAATGCAAGCATATTTATGCTTGGAAGGAAATAAAATTCAGGCACTCATCATCTGATTTCAGAAACCCAAACAACTTAATCAGAAGGCAAATACTGCCATCCAGAGGCAGAATCAGATTCTGCACAATTAAAGATGAAGCAGTAATAGCATCTGTGTTTGGTGCTGTGAGGCTGATGGTTCAGTCTAAGTCTGAGCTATGCCACTCACGGGGGCAGTGCCAATAGGTGAATCCCAACTTTTTACCTTACTGCAGATACACCTGTCTGCAAATTATTCTTTGATTTTCCTCCTCTTCCAGCAGGTAGCACACAATTAACATCCTTCTGAGATTCAGTTTTGTGAGTCATTATTGTAATAACCCTTACATCTTAGAGAAAAACCAATTTTAGAATTCTTGAATTAAGATGCCACTTAAAGTAGACACATATATGGGAAAGTATCCTAGTTTGTTGTGCTGCTGTGCATGTTCATGTGGGTGAGACAGTAACAAGGTGAAGAATGAGAAATAAAAAATGACACCAGCTACGTGCTTGAGAGGAGAGTTCCAACATCCCTTTCCCTCCTGATCCTATCACACAACAATGTCTAAAATGTCCAATGCTTGTAAGGTGTTAAGAATTAAGGTTTAGTTTCTCCCTCCCACGTGCATCTGTTAGCATTGCTGTTTCTTTGACCATCAGAGAGAGAATATGGGCTAACAGCGGTCTCACTTGTCAGCTCCATGGGGAATACCTGCCATTTTACGAAATTAAGCAGCAATCATCCAACCTTCCCTAAGATTGAAGATGGCAAGTGAAGCTGTGCCAGCTGGAAGAAGTCGGCCAGTCACAAAATGGCAGGTCCTGATTACCATTTGCAATGTAGGTGGTGGCAGCTGCTGAAATGCACCCACCTTAGGCCCAGGATTGGTGAGGGTAAAGGTGAATGAGGATGGCATAGGTAATACAGAGTGGGTATCACAAGAAAGACTGTGTGAAGGTAAGGACTAAGGGGTGCTTTCAACTGCCTACAATACACTACCCTACCCCTCAATTCCTGAAGCCAGGTCACCTGATCAGGCACCAAGTGTATTACTGGTACAAGGACCCAGGAAGTGCGCAATCAATATTCTGCATTGACCTTATCTTGCCAAAATCAGCATTAGCAGAGCAGTAGTGGCTTAGAGTAGTTTGTAGATAACTCCCCAGAAAAACAATACTCAGGTGAAAGGCACTTTTTCTGATATGAAGTAAGATCTTGCAAAGTGTGGTGCTGGTCGTTGCTTTTGAATATAACTGGTTTAAATGTGAACTTTGTACTCTCTGAACAGAGATAGTAGGAACCTGGGCATGCAAGCATATTTAGAAAGTAACCTAACTCGTGCTGGAGTACTGAGTATTTCTCCATTTAGTTATATAAAGTATGAACACATTTAGCTCTGCTAATTATTTTCTCATCTGCCTGAGCTCCCTCCCTCACTCAAGGACCATGGTCTCCAACATGTAGATTGCAATCAACTGCTTGATCACAGAATCTCTGACAGCCAATTAATAAACAAAGTGCTGCTACTGTTATGAGTTTGGAGAAAATGCTAGAAAGGCAAACCATAGTCAAAGTGAAATGGTTTGGAAATTTAAGTGTGCACTTGAGTAAATTAGCAGAAGAATTCAACAGGTGGTTTCATGAGTTCGGTGTAAATTGGATTGGATAGAAACTGGAAATGCCAGTTATCTGGATGTTTTCTCAACAGAACCAACTGAGTCACCTGACTCTTCAGATGCTGGAACAAATCAGGAAGGCATGGATTCAGAAAAGTTCATTAGTATTTGAATGAATAGAACAATTCTTCTTACTGTTTTATAATGTTTTACCATGGCTTTTATGTTTCAGTTAAGTATTTATATATATGATGTTTTACAATTGACAAACTAATGTTTCGGGATTCTAGCATCGTTACACAATCGATGAAATTCTGAAACCTAGAACTTGGACCCAAGTATTCCAGATTTGAGAGGTTACAATGTACTGAATAATACTCAATAATTTAAATCAACATCAATCTTCTGTTTTTCTAGGAAATGAATATTTACTGCGCTGTAGCAATCCCTGGAAGGATCTGCTGGTGCATTACAGAACGAGGAATGCTTTGGTGAATGCTGATGATATTACTGTAAGAAAATAGTTGGGATATAGCTGCCCAACATGAAGGAGGGAACTCAGGATTTTCCAGATCTGCTGTTTTGTTTTAAAATGCTTGAAAAACATTCAAATTGGCTTTGGATTCCAAAGTCTAGACTTCTAATTAGCATTGCTTTCACTTCATCGAATTCCCATACCACTATTGAAAACGATTCTTTGTTGAAACAATTCGCTAATTATTTAGTGCATGATTCTCTTTATGCAAATATTATGGAGTCAAAAAAAGATTTAATCAATTTTAACATTTGATAATATATTGCACTCGTTCTCTTAAATTGTGTATTATATATTTTCCAAATTCAAAATCTAAGAATTTTATAATTTAGGTGCTAGTTTATAATTAAAACAGGGAATATGGTATAGAATTGTAATAAAACATCTATTGTGGATCTGAGCATTTTCTTCTTAGACTTTACTATGATAACTAATGTTTGAACTAATTAGCTACCTTGCTAGCTTTATGAAGTCTTTGGGATTGTCTACATTTGCCACTAGATATTTGGAAAGAAAGTATATTTTAATTATCTATTTTGAAAGTGGAAACCATGTCTCATTTTAAGCTCCGTAAATGGTATTATATTGCTCCCAACTTCAGGAGCCTTTATGTCATAAAATAAAAAACTGCAAATGCTGGAGATATGAAACAAAAATAGAACGTGCTGCAAGAATTCAGCAGGTCTGGCAGCATCTGTGGAGAAAAAACAGAGTTAACATTTTGAGTCCAGTGACCCGGGTCACTAGATTTGAAATGTTTACTCTGTTTTTCCTTCCATGAGCTGTTATCTGGTGTAACAACCTTTTGTGTGGCAGTTTGTCAAATGCCTTTTGCAAATCTAAATATACTGCATGCATTGGTTCCTATTTATCTGCATTGATACATCCACATTTAGTAAATTTGTCAAACACAATTTCTCTTTATATTGACTCTGCCTAATCATATTATAATCCTGCCCAAGTACAAACATAACTTAGAAAACTGGCTATTTGATCTGTAAGTAGAATGTTTCCATATAAAAAGGAGTTTTATAATTAGTTGTGATTTTAAGATGTATATATTATTCTTATGAAGGTCCCTCCTGCGTATCGTGTCTGGAAGCAGGAACCAGCCTTTTTAAAGTGCAATTTATATTTTTAAGAAATTTGAAAGTTGTCTTCTACTTAATGCAGTGACTTTTTCAAAAGAACTGAAAACTTAGATATTTGCTGCTAGAAAAGCTTATGGTATTGCAGTTTAAGTTGCCGAAATTCTTTATCCAATTCCTTTAAATTGCTTTCTTTCTCATTGAAGGCTTTCCATTCCTCGTAGGCCATTCATCCTCACTGCTGCAAATTGTAGAGTACGTTGATTTGGGAAAGCACACATGTCATTCTAAAAATAGCCCATAAACTACCTATGGAGAGGCACAATTGCCCCATAACCATATAGTGAAGATGCCCAACTGAGAATTGACCAAACAAGAGACAAGCATGATACTCAATGTTAGAATTTTTTAATTGGGAACAATTATCTCCATTACCGGTGCTGCTGAGTAATTAAAATTTGATATACTTTCTGACGTGTATTTTATGGTAATTGCCAATAAGTATAATAAACCTAGAAATAGTTTCCAAAACTAGTACACAAAAGTTTAATGTATTTAAAAGACTTTCCTCTAGCATCTTTGTGATGTTTTACTGACTTCTGTAATTTTGAATTCCTATTACTGGATCCAGGCTAGTGAAGGAGTAGAGTCTTAGCATAATTAATGCTGCTCTGTAAATCTTGTATCACAAAGATTGTCTAGCTGACTAGATGACAGAGTATTGGGCTGTTGTAGTGTAAAAGTGAAGGAATATAAAAAGGTCGTGAAACTCCCACCTGCCCTGGGGGCCATTTCTTCATCCAAGTCCTGATTTTGAAACAGGTTAAACATCTTTACTTATTAGTACATGTGCATATTCTGGGCTCAGTTTGGATGCACTCAAAGCCCATTCACAAACACAGAATTAAAATCCTCAGTATCCATGAAATCACAAGCCATGAATTTGCTTATTCATACCAAAAAGAAAGTAACAACAAAAATCAACATCTGCGGGCAATTTTTAACCTATTTTCAACAAGCAAACTTCATTATTTGGGGGGATTCTTAGGAACAGAACCCTCGTGGATACGGAGGAATGACGTAGGTCTAATATTCCTTTGCTTTGTCAGCATTTCATATAATCTTTTTAAAGTGTCAGCTGAGCCAGCATCACTAAACTAGGGTGCAGTGTTAACTTGATGATAGTCCTCAATTAAAATTTCATCTTTTTAATTTTTTTGTGTCTTTTCTTGGCTTAGTATGCAACACCTCTCAATAGCTGCATTAATTCAGTTAGTTATGTAAAAACATGGCTCATTTTACCATATTTCTTTTGTTGAATCGCTTTATGTTGGAGGACACCTGAGATGAGCATATTAGTTTATTGCGGATAATTTTTCTGGTACAGGATAGCTTCTGCCACCTGTTCACATTTTGAAGGTGTTAAATGAGTAGCTGTCTCTGCCCAACGTCAGTTCAAATAGAACCTTATGAAAAAATGCATTTTTAGCAATTTAAAAGCACAGCAGCTATGTGCTATTATAATAAATATAATAAACTGTGACCAAAAAGTGATTTTTATTTTGTTCTTTGTTTCTGCAATAATGTAATGCTTTTTCTAAAAAAAAACTCAAGAGTCAGGCATCTGTTTTGTGATTTATGGATTGATGTTATTTTGGAGCTGGTGTCTGTATTTTTCTTAGTGAATTTATTAAGTATTAGTAAGAAATTTCTTCTGTGACTTTATGTTGTTATATGTTTTGTGTAGAGACAGAAAAACTGTGCAGATCCTGGTGCAATGGGTATAACTGCATGACTTGTCTCTGAGACCTTTAATCACCATATTACAATATTTTGAATGTATCACTGTTTTATAGGGCTTCTCTTATGTCATATTGAAGTTTTAATAGTAATAGAATCAAAACTTGTTTTCTTTGAAAACAGTGCTTCATCCATAGCACATTCTTGCTATGGAAAATGTTAACTTTGAGGGTTTTAATTTTTTTTACATTTAATAAAGAATAACTGTAAAGAAAGGTGTATTTCAATGTGTATTCTTTCAGACTTTGCACCCTCAACCTTACCTGTAATGAGTCTCTGCACTCATTTGTTTTTAATCTGAAACATTGAATATTGCTGTAATTGACTCCATAGAAACAAAGAAGATAGGAGCCATTTGGCCCTTCAACCTTGCATTCATTCACTGTTTTAATAATACTCTTGTTTTTATTCTACCTGCCAAGGTGAACAACTTTGCATCATTCCACATTGTACTCAATCAGCCACTCACTTAACCTATCTGCATAAATTTGCATCCTTGTTCTGTCACTTCTACAATATACTTTCCTACTTATCTTTGTGTCAACTCCAATTTAAGACACCATGCCCTGATTCTTTCATCTAGGTCATTTATATAAATTGTGAAAGTTTGGGGGCCCAGCACAAACCAGTATGGGACCCATTCATCACATCCTGCCAAACTGAAAAAGACCAATTAAGTTTACAGCCAGGCAGCTAATCTTCTGTCCATACTGGTACGTTACCTTTTACACCATGAGCTCCTACTTTGTGCAATAACCTTTTATGTGGAACCTGTTAAATGCCTTCTGGAAATAAAAGCAAAGTACTTGCAAAGGTTCCTCTTTATCCACAGTAAATGTTACTCCTTCAAAGAATTCCAATAAACATTGTTGCCTTTTCACAAAACTATGCTGACTCTTCCCAGTTACCTTGAGTACTTTTCCCAAGTGCCCAGTTGTAACCTCCTCAGTGATTGATTCTAAAATCTTTTTCCATAACAGACATCAAGCTCACTGGTCTATAGTTTCCTACTTTCATCCTTCCTCTCTTCTTGAATGGACATGTTATATTTGCTACTTTGCAATCTCATAGAAACTTTACAGAATCTAATGAATTTTGGAAAATTAACACCAACACATCTACAGCGTCATTAACCATATCTTTTAAGATGCCAAAATGAAGTTCAATAGGACTTGGAGAATTATCAACCTGTAGCTCTGACAGTACTGCTTTTCTCTCCAAATTCTTCTCTTCCTTCAACCTCCTGATTTATAGACATTCCTGTGTATTTCTTGTATCTTCTATAGTAAATAGAGCAGCAAAATATTTATTCATTACATCTGCTATTTCTTTCTTAACTCCCAGTAAATTCCCATTTTTACCCTTCAGGTAATCAACACTACTTACTCTTTTTCTTTTTAGGTGGCTATAGAAACTCCTGCTATCTGTTTTACATTTGTATCTAGCTTTCTATCACACTCTTAAGTTATTTGATGAACCTTTCAGCCATTCTCTACCATGCTTTGTATTCTGACCAGTCATCTGACCTGCAACTCCCCTATGTGCATTCAATCAGTTCCTGGTACTTCTATTGTTACAGTGGCAGTGGCAGTCTTGTAGCGCTACTGACAATACCCTGCTGACAGTCCAGTATGAATTTGAAATCATCCCAACCCCAAGTTAGGGCATTGGTGGGATGGGGTGAGTTTGGGAGGTGGGCGGCGGGGTTGCAGGGAGCAGTGTGGAGTTGGTGTTAGTGCAGGTTAGGTTTCAAATTGGTTTTGAGCATGTGGACAGAGATACCAATTAACAGGACTCCATGACTGAAGGAAAATCCAAACTTAATTTTCTCCAATTATAATGGGTTTCAATAATATAGTTCAATTGTTTGAATATGAATGAGAGAGAATTCCTGTATTATTGTTACATTGCTACTGACATGTTTTCAAGATTATGTTTATTGCGATCATGAACACATTTTTTTATATCAAAGAGGCTGCAGCATTGGCAAATCTTACTATCTCTGCACCTATGTCAGGCCTTTATCCAGCTATTGCTTCTATTCATCATCATAAACAAAATTAGACTGTGCTTGCAGCTCCTTAAATAGCGTTATAGGACATAATTTTCTCCTTAGAGGTGGTGAGAAGGAATTGGACCTGGACAAATACTCATCCCCTTCTCACATCCTCACAAAGTAGATGCTGGTCAAGAAGGTCCACTGAGGACTCTCTTGATTCGCCAGCAATTAAAGTCCTTAAATGGTCAATTAATGGCCTCAACACATCACCTGCCCAAACACCTGTATTTGCCAAAATGTCTTGTTTATTGGGGATAGTAGGAACTGCAGACGCTGGAGAATCCGAGACAACAAGGTGCAGAGCTGGATGAACACGGCAGGCCAAGCAGCATCATAGGAGCAGAACGGCTGACGTTTCGGGCCTAGACCCTTCATTCCAGAGGAATAGCCAACAGTGCTGCAAGAAAATCAAGGACCTTTTCTGTTTTGCCAGGTAAAATGCCACCATCTTCTCTCAATTACCTCATGCTCACTCTGTCTCTGCTACTGTGCCTGCCTCTCACAGAGACCCTGACACTCTCATTGTTGCATGAAGTATTTCCCTCACTCACTTTTACCCAGCCCAATCCCCGCCACCGCCCCAATGCTAACCCTGCATGGTTGCTGCGCTGCTCCTCGTTCACTTGCAACACCTCACCACCTTTCCCCCCGACCTCACACAATATCTCCCTTTGTCTCATTCCAAAAGAAGACAGCTCAAAATAGGGCCAAAGCACTCTAGATGGTGGTAGTGTGCCTGATTTTCAGTTCCTCTGCCCCTACAAGGAGATCTTGGCAATCACAAGTGAGGACTGTGGTGACAAGGAATCATCCATGTCATGGCGCTCAAGTAAGAATTATTGTATTTTGCTGTGTTACTCTCCCATTACCTCGACTGTAAATGTGTTATCGACATGCCGCACCGTTTACCCTTGTCTGCAATGCATTCTCTATTTTGTCTCAAATCAAGTACCAGTCACATTACTACAGTTGCCACTGTAGCACTACAAGACATTCCCACCAATATCTCTGAGGAAGAGAACACAGATGTCCCAGAGGCTACACACCTCACCAGTTCAGGTATGACACCTTGCCGGGAGCACCAACTGAACACTTCACTGCCATGTCTCCACAGCTGGCCAAGGGAGAAAAACCCAGGTGGCTGGCATTCAGAGGACTGTGGAAGACTGGGCATCTGCTCAGGCCCAGACAGGAGAGGACCCCAAGTTGTTGGCAATTTGTGACTTCACTGAACTGGCCAAACAGACACAAAAACTCTAGGCAGGTTCATCAAAGGCACTGGGCAACTTGACTGCACCAATACATTGAAATCCTGCTGCCTCAGGCAGGTGAACATCTGGCTAGCCCCCATGGGCAGATTGGCAGCTGCCACAGAGAGCCAGGTCCAGCAGTGTGAATGTCGGCTGGATATGTACACAAACCTGCACTCCATCGCTGTAGCCACTGGTGTTCAATGACTTCACTCCAGATGCTCCTTTCTCACAAGGACTGGGTGGTGCCAGTAAGCACCCAGCTAGAGGAAAAACACCAGACAGCCCCCACAGATGTTTGTGTTGAGAACGCTCCAGAGGCAGCTGGGCCTTCCACCTCGACCCTGCCACCTTCAGCCCAGTAGGAGGTCATACTGAGGAGGGTGCACACACCTTCGGGCAAGGCGCACTCAGCATGTTGAAGCCTCAAGGCACAAATGTCACTTGAGTTGCCCAACCGAAACTCTGAGGCTAACAGGGTCCAGATTAGAGCTGGTTCCTTCACCCTAACTGCAGAGACCAGGACCGTACCAAGATATTATGGGAGTGAAGGAAAGAAGGCGACAATTTTCTGAGAGCACAGTGACATGGGTGACATGTCACTATGAATATTTCCTCACATTTATAAATATATGTTCATTTTCTTCATCAGTTGTATGAGAAAATGTTTATCTAGCTGCATCTACAACATTGAAGGTACAGAACCTGGCCATACTGTGCACATCATAATGTTTGATACAAGCAACTTCTGTTTGCAGACTATAGGTAAATGGCAGGTGATTGGTACTTTGGCAACTAAGGTTAATCTTTCCAGGTGTCAGTATATTTCTAGTGCACTAAAGCCATTAGAGGGACTGATTCATAACGTTGCATGATATGGTTAAGAGTGTTGGGGGTAGGAAATTGGACTCGAGACAGTAGATTAATGCCAAAGGTTTACACATCATGTGCTAATTGTGTTTCAGCTTTAATGTGGGTGATCTATGTAATGCTGTAATCCTTTGAAGGGTCTCAATTGTTCAAAACTAAAGGCACCTCTCTCATTGAATGAAACATTTACCCTGTTCCCTCTGGGCATGGTCCCAGCCGTTTTCAGCTCCATAGCACTCTGTGTTTTCTTTCAGGAAGGAAGCAAAGAATTGAGTCTCACTGGATCTAAAAGACTTACCATGACCCACTTCCTGACTATAAAGATATGGACCACTTACCCCTAGCCACTTTCCCCAAGCGGCTGACTGACCATTTCTAATCCCCTGTTCTGATATTGGAGGCTGCCCTTGACTTACTGCATTAGGAGCCCCTCCATGAAAGTGTCTCCCTGGAACTGAATAAGGTCTACTCTCCTTCGACTTTTGAGACATGGCTGTTTGCTTAAAGCACATGCAATACATTTGCTCTGTGAACTGCTGGCACATGATGCAGAAGTAACACAGACAGAGCACAGTGTTGTACAACAGTATGTCCAACACTTTGACTGATGACTGCTAAAAACCATAACAATTTGTGTGGGATTGTATCTGCGCTAGGCAGATTAAGGTAGAAGTACTGTGAGTTTTGCCTTAAGCTGGAGCTAAAGAGGCAAAGTGCCCAAAAGCAAGACAGGGCATGGCATGCTGTCAACATTAAAACAGACACAGAGCGAGTGAGCACTAAGAGAGTGAATGAGGATGCCTTGGATTCTCCCTAGTCTAAGCCATGAGCTCGGTCCCTGCGTGTAAAGTGCCCTGGCAGCAGTATTGCAATGTAAGGTCGTGGTGTGCTCCAAAGTGTAGCATTGAAGTGCAGAAGCGTGCTGTAAGTAGATAGGAGTTGTGCAATGATGATGCAGTGAGGCCGGTACATGTTGGATATCAGTGTCTGTGCTGGGGTTTCAGGTGGCCATCATGGAGTGTGCCCTGAAATGTTGA